AAAGAGGATTTGATTGGATATTAGGAAAAATTCCTTTAACAAAGGGGTTGTCAAGCACTGGAACTGCCCAGGGAAGTGCTTGAGTCATCACCAGCCCTGGAAGTATTTATAAGATGTATAGGAGCGGCAGTTGAGGACATGATTTAGTTGTGGACTTGACAGTGTTAGGTTTACAGTTGGACTTGATAATCTTAAAGATCTTTTCCAACCTTAATGATTCTGTGATTTTGTGATTCTATTTGAGAGCTAAGCATTGCTTTCTGCAACAAATATGGACCTAATATGCTTTAGCACCTGAATACAGCTCTACACCATCAGCCATTTCCTGCTTACTCTAGAATACAAAACACCTTTCTCAGGTTCTCAGACAGGGGTACTGCCTTGAGCAACACAAATGACCTGTAGGGGCAGGCATTCTTAAGGACACACTCTACTTAATGTTACTATAGATAAAGCCAAATCTGATAACAATGCATGAATGTTAGGTGGGATTATTAATCCATCTCGATTAATAATACTTTAAACTCTGCTCAAACACTGTCCATGATGACACTGGGCATCTCACTTCTATGGGAAGAAGGACTTTGATCCTAGGTTCTAGGTTTATGGAATGTAGAATTGCTGGGATGGGAACAAGGCACCACTGAATAGTTACTGACTAGGGGCAGGGGCAAGAGGAGGTGAAAAAGCAGCTGTGGGTGTTTCAGAGGGGAAAAGGTTGAAACTGCTTTTGAAATCTGAGTGCTAGTTCTGCTAAAAGAGATAGAAAGTAACCCTGTCTCTACTGGATGATGGTGACAGGTTTGCTGACCACCTTATGACTTTAAATTCTTCCAGTTTTCAGCCACATGCTACACTGTCCACCAATAGTTACATTTGGGGAAAGATGCTGTGCCCATGTGGGTAGTCGTGTTTGCAGCCTGAAGTGCTACCTCTGCCTTGTATTTTGCTGGCACTAGTTGACATGGCATCTGGGCCAGTGTTAATGTGTTTCTGTAAGACACATCCTACTTCTTACAGGAGCTGAAACTGTTCTAGCTGTCCACTAGCATTAAGGGCACAATTCCATCAGAAGACCCAGTGATCTGTACTCCTTTGTAAAAATGGGTATTTATTACTTTTTTTTCACCTTTTTTTTTTTTTTTTTTACTTTTTTACTTTTTTTTAGTGGTTTTTTAATTATTTTGCTTATTCCAACCTCTCCATTTAAAAAAAAACCAAAACAACGAAGAAACCATGAAATAACTGAGAGAGAAAAGAAGTTTTAGGTTCCTCACTATATATAGGGGAACAGACAGCAGGCAGGTTAAAGATCTTTCTCAGATGTACTCTTTCTATTTTTCTGATCTACCTATGAAGAGGAGAGCTAACTTTGTTTAGACTTTTAATTTCTTCGCTAACTTGTTACTGTGACAATATATTTTTGTTTATTTTCAGATGAAGGTTCAGGCAACAATCAATGTTGAAGTAAGTTCTTTTTTTTCTCCTTCCTGTTAAATAATTTTAATTAAAAATCAGCATGTACTAAATTGAAATAATTAGAAACTAAGCATTATTCTAATGCCATTTCTAGCTCTGAGACTCCTGCATGATTTGACACAGGTCAAATAGGTTCAATTTATTCCTTTCAGTTGTAGAAACAATGGAGTAGCTTGACTTAAAATCCAACACTTCTATTGTTACTGTAAAATTTAAGTAAGTACCATAATGAGTTTGTTAATGAAAACCAGTTCTACGTCTTCCTAGGTAGATGATTGACTATGCAATACATACATTAAAACTTCATTTTTACCCTGGGAGTATCACTGCAGATTTTCGGTAATAAGCTTCCTTCAGGTGACCTGTAGACAAGAAACATCAGTCTTAGCAAAGTGACATGTCCTAAAAGTATGTGTAAGCCAGGAGACAAAGCATTTTGTTGACTATTTCTTATTATATAGTGGAAGTTTTTAAACGCAATAGAAATACTCCAGGCCAGAGGCCCTACTACTATGAGCTATGAAATTTTCAGGTGCTCTAGGTAAAAATGACCCTCTTCTGCTTCATGCTCACTCTTGTCTTAGGGAATAGTCATTTTTATCTAACGTGATTTAGGGGCTCCATTGAATGGACATGCCCTTGTTCAATTTAATTTCTTCTCATCTTTCCTCTAACTACTGCACTGAAAATATAATTGAAATGGCTTCTCTTGGACTAGAGGTTCCTGTATTTTTGATGGCTATTAAAATATTTTTATGCTTGCAGAACATAATATTCATGACAACTCTGTTATTCTTTAAATTGAAATTCTATATGTTTAAATGAAATAAAATTTTGGATTTGAGATAATAAATTCCACTTTTGAGACACTTGAAATGTATGATGTTATTAAATTTATTACCTTGGGGATTCTTTGAGAGATTTATCTCTAGAATTTGGTCAGAGTTTTTCTAACGTAAAGCATGCTTATTAAAACTGAAGCTTTGCATCTCAATACCTTTTATCTAAACACTTATTAAAAATCAAAGGACAATATCATATGTGAATGTAAATCATCCCCCACTATTTACTTACTAAAGATATGGTGAAGACCTCCACCCAAATGGTCATAATATACAACTATGAGTAATAGTTTAGGATTAATTTCTGAACAGCTAAACAGGGAAATCTGACTTTTCCTTGCAGGGTTTACATTTCTGTTTTTCCAATATGCAAACAGTCCATTCTTTTCTCACTGCCATTTTCAGCTGTCTTAACATGATCATCAATACTGGCATCAGTAGCTAATTGATGAAGCAATTTGTTTGTGTGCATCTTCATGTAAATGAAGTAAGGTAGTGAGTTCAGGACTTATTCAGAGATAAGTTATCAGGCTCCAAATGTGCCATCCATTGATAAGCAATGATGTATGTAGAGAGTGGCTAACAGATTGCAGCAATCCTTATGCTCTGAAGGTTTCTTCCATTCAGTATTCTCATTTTTATGGTGTTTCAGAATAGAGACTTATTCAAGCAGAGTGACAGAGGTCTTACCCTGAGGGTGTTGAGCCAGAAAGACTGCGAAGCATATTAGAGCTAGAAATAAAATCCAGTGGACTGCAGCCATCAGAACTTTCCTAGCGTCATGATGGTGTAAATGGAACATGAACTATTGGTACAGATCAGTTAGTTTTGTTACAGGGATGTTATGGAGAACAAGTCACTTCAGGAAAAACAGATTTTGTTTCTTGATGAGATTATGTGACTGAGTGAAACGAGTATAGGCATAAATATAATGCACTTAAAACTCTATACAGTATTTGACTTAGCACCATACAACTTTCTGGTTTAAAATATGACCACTGAAAAAAACCCACTTGAGTGCACGGGTTAATAATCAGTTGACACCTGAAAATAATATTCAGCATAGAATCACCTGTGAATAATGATGGGAATACTGATAGTGAACAAATTACTTCTCCCAGAGAATGGAAGTGAAATGTCTTTTAAATATGACATAGAAAATCATAAAAAATTATGAGCAAGTGAAACAGAAACTGTATTGGAAATGATGAAGTGAACATAGAGCCCTTGAGGAACAGGATGGAATAAGGAAAAATTAAAAGGTTGATCTTGACCTGGTGCAGCTGCCTTGTTTGTCTGTCAAGTCTGGCAGCACTAAGAAAAGAAATTCTTATAAGCTACAACTGAAACCTGCTACTTTAACTGCATCACCACACACAACAAAATAGTATCTTAATTAGTGGCTTAATTAAAATCAGCTTTTTCATTCCAGTCATTGTTATCTAATACTATTGTAAGGACCCCAAAATAAGCTCTTCCATAAGAATTACCAACCTACCTACCATAAGGCCTCTGCAGGACTGACATTTTCCACATGTTTATTGTAGAAAACAGCACAAGAAATCCTTGTATATGTGTTACCATTTGCCCACAGACCATTAGGAAGGAAAGAAGCTTCCTATTGCAACAGAATGCTGACATCCTCTGTCAGGATTTTGGACCCTTTACACTAACAGCAAAATCAACATTGTGTGTAGCAATGGAAATAAAAGTATAAGCATCAGCAGCTGCCTTCAGTCCTTTTGATTCTAAACTTACTTTGTGGGTGTAAACTGTATCTTTAGCAACACAGGTCCTGTTTTAGCTGTTTATCAAGTACTTCCACTGGAACAAAGCTTTTTAGAGTTTACAGTTAGGTGTATTACTGGAAGAACTGCAATAACAGAGTTTTTAAAGTTTGTCATTTTAATCTAGAAAAGAAAGATATTTCCGTCAGTGTTATTTTGTAGATGTTCTGAATTACTTTAAATTAATGGATAATTGTTTCATTGCAGCCATAACAAATGGAGTATATTCCATTTCAGTCCCACTCTTATTTAAAAAGGTACATAACCTTGGGGAGAAGGGTGGGGGAGGACAAACAGCTATTAATATTTCAAGGAAAAAAACCCCAAACACCAAAATTCTAGCTAGTGTGGTAGTGAATTTGAGTCTAATCTTACACTTTGAAAGAGAAATTGTTTTACATTTACATCTGTATAATTTGAGATACACTTGAAAAATGCCTTAATATGAGCAGATGTATATATTTGTAAATATTTGATCTACCTTGGAAGAATTAAAGTTATTTAATACAAGTCATTTATTTTCATAAACATTCATTTCTGTAGGAGTTGCACTATTATAGGTGTAATTTTGGCTGCCTTTAATTTTCTTTTTTTTTCCAAATGAAATTGCATCCAAATAAAAATTTAATCTGCTTTACTATGGATGTTTTAGTTTAAGTCTGCTTAAGTCTGCTCCAAGTTTAGTTTAACTCTGCTCCAAGTGCTTTTTCGGAGTGTCATTACAGTTCAACTAACAATATGTGTGTTGTATCTTCTCATGTGCAACATTTGTGCCTCTGAGGTAAGTCAGTGATAACTGAGGTTGAGCCTGGTGCCTGTAACTTCCTGTAAGAGCTATTCCTGGAGTTAGAACTCTCAGTGGGCTTAGACCTAGCAGGTGTTAGTGCATATGGGATTTGTGGAAAAATGGTTTAAAATATGTACTTATATGATAGAAAAAATATAAATTTACAGAGAAAAGCCTTCTTTAGTTCTCTTTGTTTTCATCAGGATACTGCTTGGATCACCGGATGTGATTTCCTACCTCAGCTGAAATATGTCGTGGCTGTAACTGAAAGCACAGTCGTTATCTGGGACTATAAATCAGACGACATGGTATTGTGTTGAATGAGAAAAATGCTACAATGAAGCCTGAAAATTGATCAGTCTTTGTTTTTTATATATATTTACATTCCTTTGGTCTAACAGGATGAAGGTTTTTAACTTTTGTCTTTGTAGAAACTCAGTGAAACAGTGGAATTTATACTAAAGAAGGAATACCCTTTCCACACCAAACGGGATTATTAAAGGGTCTTAAAAGTTTGGAAGAGAAAGAAAAAATTTGTACTATGTTGCAAACAAACCCCCAAAGAATTTATTTTCCGTGTTTATCTAATGCATATGTGTGCAGCTGTATATCTAATATGTGTGCATCGGTATTTAAATATATCTTGGAATCTATTAAGAATCAAGGGACAGGTTCTCCAAGGAGGTAACTTCCTGATTTAAAGAAAATACTTCTTCATGTCCTGTGCTTTGTTCAGGACTTTCTAAGAACAAAACCATTTTGATGTTGATAGCGTATGTCCAAAGTTTTCTTGCCTTATTACAAAATACAATTTTTGCTGACCCATACCTTAGCATTTTCCTTCTGTTCCTGGGACATTTCTCAGAAATTCTGAGTTGGCTGAGATGTTGAGGACAAGCTAAGTAAATATTTTTAGGATAAGATTTTTAGGACTTTTTTGTTGTTGTTGTTTTGTTCTCAATATTGAAAGGTTGCTTCCCAAAGTCAGATAGGTCCACGTAAGTCCCTTTGTCAATCTAATTGCACTTCTGAGAGGAAGGCTCAAAAACTTATTCTCCAGGTTCTCTCCAGTCATCAGTGAGAGCTGCAAATGACCTGTTGCTGAATAGGAATAGCTCTTCTCCAAGACCACAGAAATATGATATAGACAGTTCTGTATCTGTGTTGTGTCTCTTTAATGTTTCTGTGCTACTTGGACAGCATTGAAGCAGTTAATTCCTATGGCATGTGAACAGTTCCCAGTTTAGGCTGGCAAGGATGATTTAATCAAATAACAGATGGAGTCAGACAGTAGAACCAATAAACAGTATAATGCAGATGACCCAAAATCCCATTCCTGTGCCTTCTCAGTCTGGCAAAATACCACAGTGACTTGCAACTGTATTCATTCCCATGATATCTGTGCTTAAAACACCTGCCTATATAAGTACACTTGGCACTCCCAGGCTGTATTGATAATTAGGATTCTGATATAATTTCTCCCTGGGTTTAACTGCTATATTTTGTGGTTTGAATAATTCTTTATTTTGGCTATTTCCAATTTTCTTGTAGACAGAATCTCACTTTGAACAAGAAACCATATATAGTCTTAGCAAATATACCATCCCACTTAGCATGGGGAGATTCTTCCTAAAATTTGTTATTAGTATTTCTTCACTGAAATGGAAAAAGCTACCTGTGAAACAAAGCCTTGCTGAAAGCCCTACAGTTTGCTATTACCTCCACTTAGGGATGATCTTCCATGAGTTTCTGATACCAGGAAACAGCTATCACACGGGGAGCTAGAAAAACAAAGTCAAGATGTGAATGCTGATGTAACTGGATAAGCACACTAGATTCAGTTAATTTAAAAGACCCTGGTGCAATATCTAATAAACTGTCTGTCATATTCCACAGAATAATGGCTATGTCATCAAACCAATGAAAAACTGCCTGCTCTGTGTCTGCACGGTGACTACACCAGATCACCTGGCTAAGGACAGTATCTTAATGGGAGATGATAAGGGTTATGTTTACCTGCTTACTTTGACCAGTGATGACTTTATAATGAAACAATATAAAGCTGAAAAAGAATCACAATTCCGGGTCTTGAACTCCGAAAATTTGAACATGTAAGTTGCTTATGATAAAATATTATCAGTCCTGCATTCATTTTTTTTTTTTTAATTTGGGTTTTGTCTGGCCTGAACGGAGGATTAATTTCTGCTTATACATTGACCCCATCTAACCAATGAAAATAATGTTTCTAACTGCAGTAAATATGATTCACTTGTTTTTATCTGAAGGAAATGCCATCATTTTCAGCAGAAGATTTTACAAGAGATCTTACAATGGGGAGGATGCAGAATAAAATTCCAGGGGAGAATTTACAATTGCTATTATCCAGTTGACAAAGGAACTGTTTAATTGTGCCTGATTAGGGGGAAGCATAATTGTGACTGGAGAAATGCATGATTCAACCCCAACTTTAGCTCTGCTTCTTTTAAGCAGGAAGAGTGCTTCTGTATCTGCCCTGGATAGTAAATGTTAGCATTGTTTGTGTATATAATCTCCCTCCCAAAATTCCTGTCCACCTGTGGGTATATTACAGTAGTTGCTACTATAGCCTAATAATGTTTCAATTTATATCCCTAGTCTCAAACGCAAGCTACATGATGACTGGGTTGGGAAAGTTAGGTATATTTCTGCCCTGAAACGATTTGGATCCTGCTCCACAGACAGCCTTCGTTCATTTGTTTTGGATGATATAAAACGACTAGAGGACAACCTGTAAGTATATGACACCTTCTAGAAAAAAATAGACCTTTTGCTTTATAACTCTGCGAGAGATAAGTTCCCTGAAAGATACCATCTTGTTTTACTTTAGCTGTCTTTTCTATAAGCATTGTTAATAAAAACAAAAATACAACTATTTAAATGCTTGAATATTTTTGTTAGCTTTTGGTATAGGAGAGGATATATGTTCATTACTCACAGCCCTTAAAGATGTTCACAGTGTTGTCTGCTCCAACTTCTCCTCAGCAGGCAAATTTTACTTAGAAAATTGTTTTGCTGCATTCATTTATAATTTATATCCAGACAGAAATATATTCCACTATGTTTCATTAAAAGTTGCAGTTGCACAAGTTTGAGTTACTCAAGATTAAACCAAGAATGCAATTTATTCTGAGGGCTGTGAAATGGTTTTACTCTGCATCAGGGAAGAGTTTATGGCCTCCTTATTTGTGCCAAGTCCATGCATATGGCCCATAAGTGCTATAGCTGATTCCAAGCCTTTTTAGTGTGTGAATTTAGAAAAGTTTATAGCCCAATTAAATAATACAAATGTGATTTGATGTAAAAAGAACCTAGAAATAACATACAGATAGAACTTTTCGTTCAATGTCTAAAAGCATTGTAAATATTAGATCAGGTTCAAAATTCCTCTGTGAGGTATATCCAGGGATTAAAAGATTTTTAAGGCTAATAGCAACAACTATTTTATCTCTTGTATAACACAGGCCATAAATACTCATGTAGTAATTCTTGAATCAATCCAGTCACTTTAGGTTTTATGAGTATTGCATGTCTGTTGAGGAGTAAAGGAAAGTGAAATATGAAACACTTATAAATTGTCCAAGGTCACATACTGTGTCCGCTGAAAAGCTAAGAAATCCCCTTTGATTTTATTGGGAGCTTTGGAAAAATAGACTTAATTAGAGGAGAAAGAAAACTAAGTCTGCAGAGCCAAAACTGTAGTCAAAGGAGTATATGCTACCACCATACACTGTTAGTAATACAGAACTTTAACTGCAAATATCTTGGTGGGTCTTTTTCATTTCACACTGGCTACAATTGTGTCTCCTATTGCAATAAATATGTATCTCTAAGCAGTTTCACGCAACAACTAAATGAAATTATATTGAGACAAATGAAAAATTACACAGCTGTTAAAATGAAATTAATAGCCCTAAAAATAACTATGGATCAAATCACTTTGAAATGTCCATTCCATAAGAAATGACAGTTGAAACATATGATTTACTGATTCTAACAAAAGAAATTTCCCCAATTAACTTTGCAGCAAGGAATTGCTATTGTACTTGAAGAGGGATATAGTATATCTTGTCTCCTACGTGACTTATGTGACTTAAGTTTCTTTGTTGATAATGGCTGATGAACAGTTATAATCTTTTCTTGTAAAGAATTTAAAAAGGGAGGTATGGATATGATATGATCACAGAGCGCTTCTGTGGCAAGGCCATGGCTTGGGCAGAACTTTGCAGTGCCAGATCAGTGGGAATCGGGGATTCTGGTGTAAAATAGGAATTAATTGATTTAAATGTATGAATAGCAGTTCTTCTGAGGTTTTGTCACCTTTTATTTTTCTATACAGCTGTTTGTTAGCTCTTTAATGAATAGTCTTGATATTCTTGAGACTCCTCTTTTGGAGCTCTGGAAAAAAAGCTTTTCTTCCTCTAAGTACTAGGGAGCAGACGGCCTTTTATTTACACTTGCTTAGAAAGAACAAGCTCTTCCATTAACCCTCAAGGTTTCCAGAGTCTTTCATCAAATTTATTGTCACCTCAATTTATGATTTTCAAAATTAATCATTAGCCCAGAATAAAGGAACTAATACTTGTCTGGATTTCAAAGAAAAAATCTGAATGTCTACTCATTTAGTTCTGTGTAAGTTATTTACGCAGGTAGTCATTGCTTGCTGGGAGTGACAGGTGTTAACTATGCTATTACTGATTCCAAAAATCAATAAAATATTCACTCATTAGTAGCAGTGTATGAAACCTCGAGAGAGAAGCAGAAGTTTTTCAAAGGATGGATTTAGAAGGGACACTGAGTCAATCTCAGTCTGTGTTGGCTGGCTGCATGTTTGTGCTTTAGCAGTGAATTCAGTTGGGTTTCAGACACTTATGGTCTCTTCATACTGTTATACAACACAAAATAGATAATAAAAAGACTATACATTATACAATACATTGTGCAGAAGCAACAGAAAAGTAACTGCACACACTTAATGTAACATCAAGACCGCAGTACACCTCCACATCCAAAACAGGCAAAGGCAGTTGCTTTGATACGTTTCCTCAGTGATGAAATGCTTTAAGCACTCAGATGTGTGCAGGGTTACTTTGGCAGCAGCCACCATTTCAGGAGTCTGCTTCAACTTTGCCTTCTAAAAGGATTCAGGTGTACAAATTGGATATTTACTTCCTTAATGGAAGGTGCACTATGTTCCTCTTTCATCAATACCTCTGTTATAAATCTATTTTCTTTTAACACGAAATTGTATACATTACGCACACAGCTGTTCTATTTACTAGAAAAGTAAGGTGGGATAACTGTAGACTGTATTTTCCTAATGTTTCTTACATGATTAATTGTTTTATTAATTTTTGCAGACCTCCAAGGGAATTTTCTGTCCCTAAAGGCGTCAATGCCTTCACATACTGTGGAAAGGCAAAAGTCGTTGTTACTGGAGGTAAGTATTGGGATTTTTTCCAAGAGATTGTGCTGTTGTGATTTTTTTTCCCCAGTTAGATAAGATCAAATAGAGATGAGATGGTGTTTTAAGAATTTAAATAATAGCTTCAGTCTTAAATTATAGGAAAGAGATGTCTTGCTTTTAATTGCTGGGAGCCTTACTCTGAAAAGATATACTTCCTGACAGGAATTTCTCAAGGGCACTGTCTGGGTTTGATTCAAGTATCCTTTATGTAATAAAACAGAAGAAACAGTATGTGGAACTACTCTAAGGTACTTTTCCAAGTCAGGTTATACACATTATTCTTTCCAGTATCAGCACGGCTTCCCTCCTGTCACTTTTGGCCATCCTTTCCTATCTTAAGGAATCACATTGGCCCATCTTAATACTTTCTGCTGGTCTTCTCTCTGATCACTTCCCCAAAGTGTTACTGTTTTTTCTTTCCCCTAAAGCAGACTGCAGAAATAGCACCCTTGCATCCCTTTCTTCCCTGTTATCCAATATTTTTATGAGCCTTTCTACTGCAGTGGTCATATTTGATGCTGCAGAAATATGGCTGAAGGATAGCAGCAGTCTTGGTTTAATATTCTGTTTGACAAGGTGGTGCCCTGGAGTGATGTTGATGCTGCCTTTCTACAAGTGTTCAATATGAGGGTTTTGCTTAAAACTTTCCTAAAAATAGCAATAATGCACATAGCAATTCTTATGTCTATATTTAACAAGAAGAAAAAAATAGCCAAGGCTCTGCTGTGCAGCCTTGATAATATACACAACAGTAAAATAAACTTGAAAAAAAAATAATATAAAAAGATCTAGACATGGAAAATAATGCAATTCATGTTGAATTGTAACAGTTTGCCAAGGGGAAAATTGTGACATATCAGAATAAGTATCAGACAGTTCTATTGATTTTCTAGATGCAAGGTTTAAAGGAAAAGCAATAAAGCTATAGATAAGTTATTAGTGAAACTTCTGAAGTTCAGCCTTGGAGGAGATATTGTTTACATTGATCACCTTGTCACAGAAAGCAATCTGGAGAAATTTACTGACGACATAAAGTAAGGAGGTCCTGTGAAACAAAACGTGGTTAGTATTTCCCACAGATAGAACTGGAGGATTTTACTGTAGTAATAAAACCAGAGTGAAGTGTCTGAATGGGACAGAAGGTCAATTACACAGGAAGTAGTAAAAGTTTTTTTACATGCTGAAAATTCTTCTTACAGAAATAGCAGAAGAGAAAAATCTGGACAAACTTCCTAAGAAAATAAGAACAGCTGAGGTAGACCAGGCCAAAAGTCTGCCTAACCCACTCTCCTCTCTTTGTCAATGACCAGCAGGAAACACTTGGGGCAGGGAATAGGACAATCACGCAGCAATACTTGCCCTAGGTACATGTGTTAGTTGAAATATCTGTTCTGCAGGCAACAAAGAATTAACTTCTCTGAATGTGACACTAGTGAAACCTCACGTTGTATTGGAAGCCACTGTATGGTTGATATGAACCACATTTGAGAAAGATTAGTTGAATATGGAAAAAGAGCAGGAAAAATGTATCACATAGAGACTAAAACCATTGTGCAGAGATTAAAGAAGTATATTTTCCATTTAAACAGCTACCTAATCAGTGTATTTTAGGAGTAGATGAGTTTTTTCAACACTGACTTTTAATTTGTCTTTAATTTCAATGCACAAAAGTAAAGAAAGCATGGGTAACACGAAAAAACTTTATTAATACTGTGTTCAAGGACCCTGTAATGACAATTGTGATGATTTGGAAAAAGTATAAGAATTTGTACTTTGAACAACCTTCACATCTTTCGTAATATCTACGTACCCTTTAGTTGGAATCCTGTCTTGCTTGTTCACTGGCTGGCCTTTGTCTTCCTATTAAAAGGCATCCTCCTGCCTCTCAACCTCATTCCCAGATCTTAGCTCTGCTGCTTCCCTTGAATACAAAAGGAAATTATTCCTGAGCTGGATTACTAAGAGTCACAGGAGACAATGGAAATGCGTGGCCTAAGACAAAGACTGGGTGGGATCATCTCTTTCAATTTCATTGTGAAGTTAGATCAGCCACGGACTACTCTGAAGCTGCACCCAGAATTTAGAGTAATGCTACAGGTCTTGAGAGATCCACCTACTAAAGCCTTCAAAAGCTGAGCTTTAGAATTCTGTGCTCTGTTAATAGAATACACTGCTCACAGTGGCACAGCCCACTGTCAGGCTAGAGCACGCTATGTTTGCCTCTGTATCTTAAAAGCCACCCCTCTTTTTTGACTGGATGAGAAACACGTGCTGATGATCCAGTTAATGAAAGAAATAAGCTTTTTAAGATTAATATAGTCTTGTTAACTAAGAAGCCTGCAATTTCATCTGTAATATACCCTAAAAATCAAAGACCAGAACAGGTAATAATTCAGAAATCATAACATATAGATTCCTTGGTGAAATGTGCAAACACTTGTTAAAGCCATGTTTATATGTCACATTCAGCAATTTAGTCATATGTTTATAGCACAAATTATATGCTACATACTGTGATATATTATTACAGTGACTATTAAAAAAGTAATGTTTTAACACTCTTACATTCCATCATTTATTTAGGCTTTTTTAATTATGCTCATGAGTTTGTCAGTAATGTGACACAACCTAATTTTGTCTTTAAGATATCTGACATTTATAATAATGAATAAGATAAAAGCAAACTTGGTACTGAGTTCATTTTTTTTAATGCTAAAAGCTAGACTTTAACCAGTAAAATTATAAAAGCCTAATAGTGGTCTAAAATACGATGCCCACAGTAGTTTAAAATATCTTCTCTATGTAGCATTTTGCATTAACATTATGTTGAATGGTAAAGTGACAGGGTTTTCTTCTTATTCTGGATTCATTTCAGTTCCAGATATGTCTTAATAATCACCTCTGGGAACAACTGCGGTTAAAATTGAATTAGGTATGCATGTAAAAGCAGGAAAAGATTGGTTTTAAATGATACATCAACTTCTAACACTATTAGTTCTTCAAATCTGGCTATTGTTTTCCTCTGAGCAATGAAGCAGAAAAAAACTAGTGATTTCTAAATCTAGCAGTAACAGATTAAGACTGATAAAAGTGACTCTCCACTTGTTCGGTATCTTTTGTGAATTTCTGGAACAAGTGAAGTACATTTTCAGGAATTTCCAGGAATCCTAGCTATAGAGATCACATCCCAGAACTTCTCTAGCATCAGCTCTCAGTAGCATAGCAAACTCTTTTCTATGATGCAGTCTAAATTTAAGAAGAACATATGAAGACAAACAAGGCAGCACAAAGAAAAAAAAAAACTTACATATTTGTTAGTATGATAAACATTTGAATTTGTGCTAGTCTGCCAGATGTCTAACTGTTCTGAAGAGGTTTTGCAGACATTATAAGGCAAAATTATATAAAAGACAGACTTGAAGGAATAACAAGTTGTTTTAATAGATAAAGGGTTCTTCTGCATGAGAGTAGCAGCTTAGAAAGAAAAAAGGTGTTATATTTTTATTTTCTGATCTATCAGGGGACGCTAAGCTAAGCCTAGTATTTCTCCATTCAAATATGTTATTGTTCTCAAGTGGGTTTCAACACCACTGAAATGCAGACATCTCAGCAGACTTGTAATACAACACAAATTACAAAACTGCAAGCAAGACACTCAGTTTGACAAAGTGTCATGTTTTCAAATAAGGTATTGGAGTCCATAAGATATAGCTAGAATAGAGCTGTGGTTGTAGAATCTGACCGTTAGAAAAAGCCCTAAACATTTGCTCTTATAATTATTCACCTTGGAAGAGACTGCACTGAACTAAGGCCATTTTGTTTCAAGTCATTGATTTCACAAAATGTTAAAAAATTGGTGCTGGATATGTAGACAGATCGTCTTCTTCAAGCTTTTCTTGGATGTGTCTAGTACTCACGCTTTATGTGTCAGGATTCTGAATCCTGGAGGCATATTTGGAGCATAGAGCGAATAAATGTTCCAGGAAATGTTCCACTGAAGCAGTGAATGTTAGGGCCAATCTAGCATTAGTCCAGAAAGAGGGAAGAGAGCAAATACACTATAACAAAATCTACCATTATCTCCACATCAGTGAAAGGAACTAAATTTTATCCACTATATCTCATAAAAAGCAAACAGTATTTTTATTCTAGGGAGAGGTTTTCTTTCCTAATGTCACTTGTTCCTCCTGTTAATATCTCAAGGAAATAACCTATATAAGTGATTCTACTCTTAAAATAAACTCTTGATGCTACAATTAAAGGGCACTATCTTTCCTTTCAATCATCTACCATCATTTCAGGAATATAAAGAACAGAGCAATTAGAAGACTAAGAAAGATTCCATTCCTCAAAAGTGCAGCAAGCAGGTAGTCAAGTTGATAAGATATTGTCCGAGGCAACCTCTGAGAAGATGAGCAGGGACCTATTGTGTTCTGCAATTACTCCATAAAAAAAAGCTTCATAGACCACTTGTGCAGTTATAACCCATTTAAGCTACTTACTGCCATGCTTACAGCATATACAGATTATGTAGGGTATTTTTGCCTAAAGATTACCCCAAAAAGAAACTGGTTCCCCTTGAAGTTGCAGACAGTTACTTAGCAATGGCTCTCCTTCTCTCTACAGAAGTTCTCCTTCCATCATGTTGGTACAGTTGTTTGCATAGTTGAATTCTCAGTTACACTTGTGAAATGAGCTGGCAAAACCCAAAATAAATTTCTGTTGCAGCTATTTTTTTAGTAGATCATTTCTCCAGTGACCCTCTTTCATTTGGAGAGAAGTCACATAAACAGGGGAATCAATTTAACTGAGGGAACAATATTCTTTAATGGAGAAAAAGGGAGATAGGGCGCTCCTAAATGAGTCACGTCTTGCTGTATCAAGACGGAAAGGAATAGATTTCTGGAGAGAGATGGAGGGACTGATGAATGGCAGTTGGTTGAACAAGCTTCAGCAAGACTATTAACAAAACTGAGCTGAGTATTTTAGTCTTGAAGTTGGATGAATATTCTCTTGGGGCATGTACTTCCTAGCCTATGTTTTTTCTGCTTTTTGCTCTTCAATTTAAGCCTGGAGAAAACTAAAGCTCAAACTGAAGTCTACATAAAATGTGGCTGTTTCTTTTATTATGTGGCAAAATAGAGTGTTCAGCTAACTCCATACAATTCGTACAATTGCAATATTTACCAGGAATTGAAAGTTAAAACAAAAAATTAATTAATCTGAAATTTAAATTGGGCTCCTGTTCTCTTAAAATCCTTGCAAAAAATATTAAATACTTCAGCACACTATGTACAACTGTGTTTACAGTTGTATATGTAAACCCAGGAGTATACTAATACATTTTTAATATCTATCTGTTCAAGACAGATTCAATCATCAGTAATTACTGTGCCCTATCTGCCCTCAACTTCCATGCCCGTGTGCCTTCCTTTCTGCATGCTCATCTTCTTCCATAGAGGTGGCTATCCCTTCTTGTTCTGGCTAAGTGGACACAAAAATTATTTCGACATTTTTCTAAATTCCATTTTTAAAGAAAAAAAAATCTGAGCCCCAGTTCTATTTCTACTGAAGTATTCTGCTCCTATGAGACTAGTTCATGTAGTCCCATTTAGTGTCCCTGCCATGCCTCTACCATAATAAAAAGGCTCTGAAAGGCTGTTCAGTTACGTGCTTTTATTACATGTTTGGGGATAAGCAATGAAACATAAGCTGGAATCCAGCCCTTAGAATGAAAAATTCCCATTCTTATGTGGCAGTAGCCTACATGAATGAAAGCAGAAACTTATAAACACTAATCTCTCCATTACAAAACTTATTTGTAATACCAGTGACTATTCAGTCTCTCTGACTATATATATATACATTTTATTTTTTTCTCCTTTCAGGTAATGACAGAGTCCTTCGTTTGTGGAATCCTGCTATTAATATTAGGCCTACAGGGAAGCTATTAGGACACAAACATAGTGTTGTGGAAATTGTGACCAATGAAAAAGATCAACATGTCATCAGCCTCTCCTCTGCAAAGGTAAAACCCTTTTCTGAACTTCACAGAAGTAGGGCTGGAAGAAGGGTCCAGGGAACCACAGGCCTGTCAGCCTTACCTCAGTGCCCAGCAAAGTTACAGAACAGGTAATCTTGAGAGCGATCATGCAGAACAATCAAGGGATCAGGCCCAGCCAGCACGGGTTTAGGGAAAGCAGGTCCTGCTTGACCAACCTGATCTCCTTTTATGACCAGATGACTCACCTAGTGGATGAGGCAGTGGATGTAGCGTACCTGGACTTCAGCAAAGCTTTTGACACTGTCTCCCGTGGCATTCTCCTGACAAAGCTGGCAGCCCATGGCTTGGACAGGGGCACTCTGTGCTGGGTCAGGAACTGGCTGGAGGGCCGGGCCCAGAGAGTGCTGGTGAACGGGGCTGCATCCAGTTGGTGGCCGGTCACCAGTGGTGTTCCCCAGGGATCAGTGCTGGGCCCAGTCCTGTTTAACATCTTTACTGATGATCTGGATGAGGGGATTTAGTGCACCCTCAGTAAATTTGAAGACAACACAGAGTTGGGTGGGAGTGTTGACCTGCTGAAAGTTAGGAGGGCTCTGTGGAAGATCCAGACAGACTGGATTGATGGGCCAAGGCCAAGGGTATGAGGTTCAACAAGACCAAGAGCCAGGTCCTACACTTCGGCCACAACAATCCCATGCAGTGCTGCAGGAGGGAGACAGAGTGGCCGGAAAGTGGTCCAGTGGAAAAGGACCTGGGGATTCTGGTCAACAGCTGGCTGAACCTGGGCTCTTCTCCCAGGTAACCAATGACAGGACAAGAAGAAAGGGCCTCAAGTTGTGGCAGGGGAGGTTCAGGTTGGATATCAGAAGAATTTCTTCACAGAAAGGGTTGTTAAACATTGGAATGCGCTGCCCAAGAAGGTGGTGAAGTCACCATCCCTGGCAGTGTTCAAGAAACAACTGGATGTGGCACTTAGTGCCATGATCTGGTTGACAAGGTGGTGGTCAGTCAAAGGTTCGGCTCAATGATCTTGGAGATCTTTTCCAACCTAAATGATTCTGTGAATCTGTGAAAAAAATGTTATAAATGTAAGTAGGAATCTAATTTTGAGTAAGTACTTCCGATAGTAATTGCTTATCAGTTTGTTTATTTTAACAAAAAGGCAGAGTTTAGCTTAAAATTTCCAAATTATTTTATGTTTAGAAGCAAGACTAGAAGGGAATTATCTGGCATATTTTCTTTCTGAATGTGACAAAAGAATACCTACAGCAGTAGATATTACCATCCTGGTAATTTACATATTACTTTGGCAACTGCCAGAATTAAAACATAACCTGTACCCAAATGCTTCGTTTAGTAGTGATCACCTGCAAAAAAAAACTGCCTGCAATTTCTTTTACCCTTCTCTCCGCCTCCCAGCCTACTAAAAATCCATAGGTGTTTTTCTGACACTGATGTCTCTATACATCATATTCAACTATTGATCTTTTTCTAAACAGTGTTTTTCACAAGGCTTACTGATTCAAAGAATTGTCCATGAAGACAAATACTAACAAAACCAGTAATACCACTTCTTCAACAAAATATTGCAAGATTCTGCTGGAAATGGATAAGTTATTTTTATCATTTTAAGTTATTGGTAGAACAATGGTATTGGTGATTTATTTCATTTGTCAGAGTAAGGCTGTTCAGGAGAGAATAAAAACTTCTAAAAATATGTGCAAAAATAAATGAGAAGCCCATGAAGTAGTTGTGAATGACTATGGAGCTCTTTTAAGAGTGGTCCAATGCAATATTTTCAATATTTAGCATTACTCAATATTTTCATTAGCATCTACAGTGATGGAGTACAGAGCGCATATACTAAATTAACCAGTTGCCCAACGGTGGTTAAAGCTACGGGCCTTTAGCAGAAGTATTAAAGTTCATAATGGTCATTAAAATTGAAGGTATGATCAATAAAAAATACCTCCTATAAATCAATAAGGAGCTAATATAATTATTCAGCTGAGATATTCATCTGTCTCAAAGAATCCCAGCATTTTGTTGGGTCATGCAGAAAATATTAGTGAGCTATTTATCCTGCTTGTGTTGCTCCTCTGCTATAATTGCTTACCATTGCTCATCGTGGTGCTAATAAATACCACATTTTCATGTCTTTAATTCTATTCTTAAAATAACCCACACCTTTCTGAAAGTACTACTGGTTGAAAATAAGTCATCATAATTTCCCACCTTCACATAATCCTGGAGCCATAATCTTTCCCCCTTCCTCACTCCTGTATATCTATACCTGTCTATTCTGTAGGTAACTCTGCACCTTTGCTGCAGGCATACATTATTGCTGAATTGAGGAGGGTTTGGCCAGATAGCCTGCAAGCTGTATATGTAGGAATAATGGATTAAGACATAAGACATGACTTAAGGGGAATGAATGAATGAACATTAGTACATTTATAGAAAAGCAACTAAGAATGAAGCCCCTGGGGCAGTAAATGTAGAAGATCTCCTGAGGTCCCTTCCTGGCCTTTCTGTAATTCAGTATGATGATTAAGAGTAAAGAAAAATCTATTTTAAAAGTCTCCAAGTACATGGACACCAGATCTTAACTAAATGAAGCTAAGTTGTGCCAATGACAAATGCGAAGAACATATTAATTAAAAGCTATGTATCTTTAAATTGTGCAGTGAGTTATAAGGCAGAAATTACACTTCTCAAAAAATAAAAAGAAATACAAAAAAAAATTCCTAGACTTTCAAATGTCAGATAAATCTTGTGGTCATAGTGAAAATTATATCAAAAAAGAAGGAATCCATATAATGCTCCCAACCTAAAAGTACATTTGTGTTTGGATAGACAAGAACCAGGTATTACACAATGATGTTCAACTCCCCAGCTGAAAAGTAGGGAGTACTTTTATAAATTAAGATTTGTAATTGTTATCTTTGTTACGTAATTGTTACATTTGAGGACTCAGACTTATTTTATACTTTATGGCTATTTTTTGAATTATTGAAAAGTTTCTTGACTTACTGTAGAGATATTTTTATGCTATATAAATTACAAAGCTTCAAAGCAGCACCATAAAGGTAAACCTAAGACTAGTGCACTAGGGAAATATATTCCCATGATAGCAGAACCTGAAAGAATGTTGTAGTATTTCTTCTGCCACTTTCAGGTTAAACACTTGTGTTCTTTAGATAGATATGTATTTCCCAGACTGAGGTGCTCTTTATACTGTCAAGGCCTCTGTCAGAAATGAAGTAAATTTTTGTATGTTCGATGTACTCTTTGGCTCTGTTTCCTTCAGGAAGTAATATGTGAATGACAAAAGCATCATCTTCCCAGTTAAGTTTAGGTTTTCAATTCTCACTGGGCATAAATAGGCATTATTTCTTGCACAGGCAACTGTAGTGAGAAAGTTTTAGTTTCACAGGTAGACAACCAGAGCTTCTATCAGAGAGCCAGGGGGTGTTAAAAAAAAGAAGGGAAATTTTTAAACATCATACAAGAAAAATACAAAACCCCTTACATTTTACAGCAGATAAACTCCTCTCTGTTTTTAGCTGTTCTAAAAAGACCTTAAGAGATATGTGTATATATATATATATATATATATATATAAAATATGCAAATCATTTATTAAACTTTCATTAAATTTGTACTTTGTAATCATAAGACATGGCCTTGGCTTAAGCCACTACGGTATTTTGTGAAATAACATGCATGGCAAAATTAAGAAACTATTTTGTATCTGTCCTCTACTTTCATCACTTCTCTTGGAAGCAGACACATGCTGCTGATATTCAGTGCTGTAGGCTCACGGGTACTACTGGCATCTCACATCTTTTCTGCTGAAAGTAGAAACCTTAATTGCTAAAGAGGTAGATTATATTTGTTAAAAAAAAATATTCAAATGGTTTAAGATTAGGTAATATGTTAAATGTCCTTGCCTTGGTTACTGACCAATGGGTCAGACAATGGAAAGGGCTGGACAGTGGAAATATGGGATATTCATGAGAAATATAATTAGACAATATTTTTAGAGAAACATTTTCCCAAACCATTTTCATGTGTAAGTTAGATTGCATATATTGCACTTAACTTCTGCTGTTCATTCCCTGTAATTTTAACACATAATTTCCTATAGTATGTTCCCTGTAACTCTGTGAATAAGAACAGGAGTTAGTGTTGAATAGATACTATATGAGCTACATTTCTGGAGTCTAAATCCAAAGAGGTGGAAAGCTACAAGACATAGTCTCCCTGACTGTATTTTAAAAAATCTAATAGTTAGTCTTTTAGTAGTCAGTTTTCTTTGGTATATTTGGTACATATTACTTACTTTCTATATTAAAAAGTCTTAAAATGTTTTAAAACAAGGAATCAAACAAAAATTTTACTACCTGCTTTGGCCTCCTTTGACCTCTCAGGAGAACTGAAATGACGCAGTTTTGATTCGGGGAAAGGGATCAGACCAGCTCAGGGTTCGGTGACTAGCCAGCAGAGATTGTAAGTAGGCAGTAGTCACAGGCAAGCTGTAGCTCACACACACCACGCACCCCAAAATGAGGAGACAAGAGACAGCAGTGTGAACCAGAGAGCAGCCAAGGGCCAAAATGGTGGGTTTTATAGGGCTAGGCAGAGAAGGGTCTGGAAAGAGGGTGGAGACTGAGAGGAGCATGCAAATCCTCTAACAATCATTGGTTTGGGGTACATGAATAAACATAGGGAGGTGTTAACAGGGAGGAGACTAACAAGGGGAGAACATGATTGGTCAGTACCTCAGGGTACACTGACCTATGAGGGATTGTCTCCATGCCTGACAGGCAAAAGTCCATGAGGGGGAAAATGAGGGAATCAACCTACTAATAGGTTTTATAACTTCAACAAAGCTACCACAATAATGTCCTCAAATGTTGGTGTTATCACAGGTAGTGGTGTGGACAGGGCTGATCTTCCAATCATCAAATGAAACCTCTCCTCTCCCTTGATCCTTCCACAGTGCAAATGCTGTTTCCATT